GAGAGAGAGAGAGAGAGAGAGAGAGAGGGAGAGAGAGAGAGAGAGAGAGAGAGAGAGAGAGAGAGAGAGAGAGAGAGAGAGAGAGAATGTAAAAGAATAAAATAAACTACCAGAAGAATTTGGGAGCCATCTTTAAAAGCAGACAGAAACCCTGGCATTCTGGTGCACAATTGAAACTGCAATTCTCGGGAGATTGAGGCAGGAAGATCACAAGTTCAAGTCTGTGTATCTGAAAAATAGCAAAATAGAACAAAAGATTAGAAATGTATCACTTCCAAAGGTTTCTCTCTGAGCCAAGTTCTCTCAAGCAAGGAACAGACCCATGTGTGGGATGTTTTGGTTTTGCCCTGATTGTTCACAGAATGCTGTTTGCAGCCACGGCCCTTCCTCTCCCTGGCTGTACTTTGTGAGAGGCGGTTGGAATCTGGGTGCCACTACACTGGGCCCTCACCAAAAGGAAAGCTCCGGCAGGAGGCCCAGGCTCAGCCCTTCCTTCTTAGCAGGACAATGCCTGAGGCCGAATTGCCACTGCCAGCAGGAAATGCCTGGGAGAAGCCTGGTGGCCCAACGCCCAAGAGGACAAGAGCTTCAGGGCTCTTGTTAGGTTTTCTTTTCAGTCTGAACCATGGCCAAAAGGCAGGGTCTAAGCTCCTGGGCTGCTGCTGGTCTCTGAGTGGCCTGGAAAAGGAAGCTGGAGGAGCTTCCAGGGAGGGACAACGGTATAATACTGTTGGTCCAAACATTCAGAGGTGTTCTCAGGCCAGTCTGATGGACTCCTGGCTGCAGGTGACAGTTTTTACTCTCAGCTGACACCAAGTGCTGGAACTTTGGAAGGGAAAACCAAGAGTTTGGCTTTTGGCCAGTTCAATTAAACACAAGCGGAAGTAGCAAGTAGCCAGCTGAGCACGTGAGTCTAGAGAATGAGAGATGGATGGGACAGGCTAGACAATGCAACCGAGGGTTGAATCAGGAAGAATCAGAAAGCCTGTGCAACAAAGAGACGAGCAGCGGTTACAGATCCACTCAGAGTCCAACCACATAGAAGAGCTAGGCCAGCTTGGGCTACATAGTAACACCTTCCCTCAAAAACAAGCAAAGAGTAAGCTGGGGTGTGGTGGAACACATCTTTGAATGTTTGTATGTTTGGGGTTTTCTTGTTCTGTTTTGTAAGATAGGGTTTCTCTGTGTAGCCCTGGCTGTCCTGGAACTTGCTATGTAGAACAGGCTGACCTCGAACTCAGAGATCCATCTGCCCCTGCCTCCAGAGTGCTGGGATTAAAGGCATGTGCCATCACTACCTGGCAAAGGTGGAGTACATCTTTAATCCTAGCACTGGGAGACAGAGACAGGTGGAACTCTGAGCTCAAGGCCAGCCTAATTGAGTTCCAGGTTTGCCTGCGCTATGCAGTGAGACACCCATGGAGAGAGGGGCCGGGGGGAAGAGGGAAGAGGAGGGGGAGAGGAAGAGAGAGAGAGGGAGGGAGAGAGTGCACACTTGATAGGAAGGTTTGACTGGAAATGAGCACATAGGAGACAGAAAGGGAGACAGCCCAAGACAGGGAGGGAGGGAGCAAAGAGCGGAGCCCTGGGTCTTCCTACCATCACATAGCTGAGTTTTCTTCAGTGTCTTAGATCCCTGCTTCCTTAGGATGGCAACAAGATTAGTTTCCATCGGTGGTGGTATGTGTCACCTCTTGAACCGCAGGGTTTTTAGTGTCACAAGAACATGAAGGCAGGTGCTGTTGTCTCATTTTTAAATAGGAACATTTTAAGGATAGGTTCAGTTCTCTGCTCTGAGTCCCAGCTACAGGGAGCAGAGGGTGAATTCCAGTCCATGATGTCTGTGGGGATGTAGTAGATACAGTTCCACAGTCATGCATGTGTGTGCCTATGCGTGTTTGTGTGTGTGTGCCTGTGTGTGTGCCTGTGTGTGCCTGTGTGTGTTTGTATGCGTGCATTCAAGCGTAGAGTTCAGATAATATGTTGGGTCAGTTATCTCCTTCCTTCCATCAGATGGGTCCCAGGGATTAAACTCAGGTCTTCAGGCTTGGCAGCAAACACTTTTGCCTAGAGAGCCATCTTACTGGCCTGGTCTGCTTTTTTTTTTTTTTTTTTTTTTTGACAAGCAAATTGATTTATATTTCCTCTCGTTTCCCCTCCCACTCCTCTCTGACAGAATTCCACTCTATAGCCCAGACTGGCCTGGGACTTCTTTTTTTGTTTGTTTGTTTGGTTTTTTTGTTTTTGTTTTTGTTTCTCACCAGAAGCCCAAAATCAAGGCAACTAACAAGTGTGGTGTCTGGTAAGAGCTCACTCCCTGGGCCATGAATGGTACTGCCTTGATGTGTCCTGCACATTCATGACCAAATCCCCTCACAAAGATCCCTGTCGTGACACCACCAAGTTGATGATTTTGTCCCCACCCCCACCCCACCCCGTATGCCAGGGTTTCTCTGTGTAGCCTTGGCTGTCCTGGAACTCGATCTGTAGACTAGGCTGGCCTAGAGATCCTCTTGTCTCTGCCTTCCCAGTGCCAGGATTAAAGGTGCGCAGCACCACACCTGGTTTTATCATTAAGTTTCAGCGTATGGATTGGAGTGCGCATGAACATTTAGACCACAGCGTCTCTTCGCAGGAGTCAATCTTGCGGATGGCTGTGGCACAATCCCAATACCTGGAAGGCAGAAGCTGGAAGTCTTTGAGTTGGAGGCCCACCTGGGCTACACAGTGAGCTCCAGGTTAGCCTGGACCACGTGGCAAAACCCTGCCTCAAAAGTAAATAAACAGTGAAGCCACAGTCATGCTGTGCTTTAAACAAACGTACTGAAGTCGAAGACAATTTGAAAATATTCTAATGGTTTGCTTTAGCGAAAAAATATCCATTTACCTGAATTGTATGGCACCGGGACCGGGTGGGAGCGGCACATTTCAAAATTAACCCCTTTCTGGCAGCATCTAGGGAGCCGAGGTGGCGCAAGGCGTGCCTTTGACAGCTTCAGCGGAGGGAAAGGAGGAAGCAGAGGCGATGTGTCCCCCCTCCGTCCCCCACCCCACACTTCTGTGCTGCACCTTTCCAACCAAGGACAGCGCGCCTCGGGGTTCCCTCCATCTCCCCACGAGCGCTGGACCGCGCCAGAGTATTGTCTGGCTTGGGAAGCGGGGCGAACCCTCAAAGGGACCGGGTGCTGGCCGAGCCCTCCTTTGTGCGGCGGCCGCGCGCGGCTCCACCGCTAGGGGGCAGCCTGCTCCCCGCAGAGCCCGACAATAGGCGAGGCTGGGCAGCCGCGCGGTCCGGGAACTTTCCCCGGGATCGGCGGACGCTCGGCCGGGCCATGGAGGAGGGGGCTAGCGCCGCGCCCCCGCTCTGGAACTGGGACTACCTGGAGCGCTGCTTCGCCCGCCGCCGCGTCTGCATCTCCTTCGGCCTGTGGATCTGCGCCGCCTGCTGCTGGATCGCTGCCCACACACTGTAATGGGGACGGGACCCGCGCTAGGGGTGGCGGGCCACCCGCGGGGGAGACTGGGCGACACTCGCCTCGGCTCCTCTAGGAAACCTAGGGGGAGGGACGCAAAGGGAGCATCCTGCAGGTAGCTCAAGTCCGGGTTCGGATGTGGCACTGCTCTCTGGACTGGAGTGGAGTCCTTTCTGGATTCCGCGCATCGGGGAAGCTGGGCTGTGAGCAGGCAGCAGGAGAGGCTGGGTGGTGCGGTGGATGCGGCTTGGATTGGCTTCTATTGTCAGCCTTTTCCTGGTTGTTGGCGGTGTGAGGGGAGCAAGTGTAAGCCTCTGGGTCTCCTGTGAATGAGGATATGTCTCATAAAATGAATGTGAGGATTAAATAAGGCATGGCAGGCAAAAGACTTAATAAGTGCTCATTAAACATCATTACCGCTCTGGCTCTGTCACCTACACTTAGGGACCCTGGCAAGTCCCGCGATGTTTTCTACTTTTAATTTATCCAAAACTGCCAAGAGGTGTGGCAATGGCCATCCAACTCTGGCTAGTTTTTGCTTTTGTCTGTTTCTCAGTGGTTTGGCCAGGTAATCCCTGTAGCCTGGGTTCTGTGAGAGTGTAGCCTCAGGTCTTCAGCCACCCTGTCCCCAAGCACAGAAATCCAGAGGCAGTTTCCAGGATGGCGCCACCCGAGTATACCCAGGCAGGAGAGAGTGTATCTCTCTATCCCCACTCCCTGTAACCAGCTCACCTTAGCTCTCAGTGAACAACCAACCCCCTCTGACTGTCCATAGTGGTTCAGAGAGTCTGCAGTCCACGGCCTAGAGACCGGAGCCCAGCACAGACACCCTGGGCCTGAGCTGCTGCATGTCTTCGTGCTCTTGCATGACCCAGTCCCTAAGGTAGGTTCTGATATGGATCAGATGAGGAGCCTGCTTCCTGAGTGAATAATAATCCTGCCTGTCACACAGGCAGGCTTCAGGAATTGAGCCCTCTGAGGTAGAAGGTGCAGAATAGGAGGACTCTGGGCGTATGGTCTTCTTTGTTCCTTAGCCACCCTATGCAGCCAGTGCTGGTAGACATGCTCGCCCCTGGAACCAAGGCTTACAGAGTTGTTAAGCAGTGTGCCTGACTTTAACCCTGCCTGAAGCTAGACGTGCCTCTCTGTTCTTAGGGCACCGCCACTCTTGAACCCCTCTCCCCATGCCTGTCTTTAGAGAATGTTGAATTTCAGGGGGTGGGGATGGGTGCTAGGTTAAGGTCAGTCCAGGAGTCCTGGCCCCTGAGAACTTGGCGTCCATGTCTGAGAGCACAGGACATAGGGCAAAACCCCCAGCGAGAAGCCAGAGGCCTGCCACCAGCTCCCATCATCACCCCAGGCTGCAGGGGCTCCTCTCTCGAATGCAAAGGTTGAAATGAAGTGTGCTAATTTGGGTCCAAATCTCTTACTCCTTGAGCTTGCATTTAACAGCCCAGAGTTTAGATTTATAGCTGAGGGTCGACACCCTGAGCTTCAGGCTTGGGGGTGGGGGAGGCTGGCAGACCCAGAGATGTTTAGGGTGTTGGGTGACAGCCTTCCTTCTGTAACTATGATCCTTGGGGCTGATGCTCAGAACCTAATGTACGGAGTCAGAACCAACCATGCTGCCTGAGCAGATGAAGCCGAGGCCGCTCCCAGCCCATTTCTCTATAAAATCCAGCACGCTCACTGAAACTCAGTGTGGTGGTGACAGCATTAGAGATATTGCCAGAGAGGCCCCGCCCTCTGTATGACCCAGGTGAAGGAAACAAGAAGAGTCATAGCAGAAAAGCCCAGCAGTTTGGAGACCTAGGGAGAGGAGCCCAGAGCACCGTGCTGTTATTCAGTTTGGTGTCCGCTGCTTTATGAACATGCTCAAATTGCTCAGCTGGAAGAGGCTGCCACCCACTGCACAGATGGGTAAGGCTGATCTGACTCTAATTTAAAGAAACAAATTGCCTTTTAAATTTAGGTAATTACCACTATAGTTCGCTGTGGTGCTAGGGTGGTGTTTAGAATCTGCTTCCCTTTCAGAAGATAAAACCTGATGGCCAGCTTGTATGGGGGGAGGGGGGTTGTTACATTGACCCCACTTGATTTGGAAGAGGAAAAGGAAAAGAAAAAGACCCCCTATCCTCCTTAAAGTTAACACTTACTGTGTAGTGCAAGCTGGCCTTGAACTCGAAAACCCCCTGCTTCCACTTCCCAAGTGCTAGGATTAAGGTGTTTCAAAACATGTTGAGGCTTGTAAGAATCTGAGGTACATGCTGCTTGCCCAGCTTTCTCTGTCTTCCCTTTTGTAGAAGAGGATGACATATCTGCAAGGAGATCTTCAGTTCCTGGCAGAGCCTTGTCCCAGAAACCAAACCCAGAAACATGGGTTATACCTGGGAGGGGCTATGTTCTGTAGAACAGAGGTGACAGCTGCCTTTTCTAGGTGTCTTCTCTGGCCTAGCCTCGAACTCATAGCCCCTGTGTTCTGTTCATGCCCCTATGACCTCAGGATTCTCTACCTGAGATGCACAAAGAAGTGTGTCCAAGACCAGTCGACACTGTGTGCTGTGTTCTGCCTCCTGACGAGTCTGTGTGATACTGTGGGGGCGATTCTGGCCAGGCAGCTCACAATCCAGGTATGTCCCGCACAAGCTTGTTCCTCTGCTGCAGTCAAGGTCGCCTCTGTCTTTCCCCTCAGCCTGCAGAGCAGTTTCCTCTCAGAGCCTGTACCTGGTCCTTTCTGTCCTCTAAAGTGCTCTTTCTCTCAGTGTCCACATGGCTCAGTGCCATCACCTCCTTCAAACACTTATTCAAAGTCACCTTCTACAGCAAGGCTTCTGGGACTTAGAGTGATCCCAGTGGGTGAGAGCACACATCTTTCTTCCAGAGGACTGAAGTTTGGTTCCCAGTACATATGTCAGGTATCTTATAACCATGTGAACTCCAGCTCCAGGGCATCCCTTGGCTTCTTCTCCGAGTATACTCATACACATGTGCCGTGCACACGCACAAGCACACACACATAAAAAAAATAAAGTAAACCCTCCCCTGTGTGAAATCGTAACCCATCTCTTCCAAAAGTACTCCAGGCTCCAGGCTCCTGGTCTGTTTTTTCTTAGCTTACCACATGGCTGAGTTAATTTTCAATTGCTGCGACAAAACACCATGACCAAAGTAACAAATAAGAGAAAACATTTAATTGAGCTTATGGTTTTACAGGATCAGAGTCCCTGATGGCAGAGCAAAGGCATGAGGGCAGGAACAGCTGAGAGCTCACTTCTTGATCAGCAAATAGGAGGTAGAAAGAGACACTAGGAAGGGTATCAGTCTTTTGAAATATCAAGACCCACCCCCCAGTGACACACCCCCTCCAACAAGGCCACACCTCCCAATCCTTCCCAAACAGTTCCACCAACTGGGGACCAAGTGTTCAAGCATGTAAGCCCATGGGAAGCCATTCTCATTAAAGCCACTACAGTGAGTTACTCTCAAGAACAAGGACTCACTGCTGTACTGTCACTTCACACAGCTCATAGTAGATACTCAACAAACAGTCATTATCATTACTATTTACAGAGCTGAGACTTGGCAATGGCCACCCATTCCTTCACCAGATGGTGACGTTGGATTTGGTGCAGGGAAAAGCAGTTGTTAGTTTCTCCAAAGTGTAGGCCTCAAACATAGAATCTCTAACCCTAAACACACATTCCAAGGAATAGAGCCTGGCTGCAAGGAACTTGTGGGTTTTGTTTTTTGTTTTTTTGTTTTTTGTCTTTGCGGCCACACAGGCAGAGAGAAAGGCGGGCAGCCTTGTGATCAGGACACAAGTCCAGAGTTTTGAACTTGCTTAGAACAGTGCTGTGCTGTGTCTGAGGCAGGCTCCCTTTCCCTTTGGCTTGTGGGATAGAAGGAGACTCTGTTCATGTCCAGTAGGAATGGCTAGCTGGAATTCAGTTAAATATTTAACTACATCCTTGACACTAAGGTCCCCTGTATATTAACTCATTTATTCCTGAATCTCTCCTGTGACGTGAGTCCTGTCATCTTCCATCTGCTACAGATGTGGAAACTGAGGCACAGTGAAGCTTCTGTAAGGTCCTCCTCTAGTAAGTACCCAGGCCGGGATTCCAGAGTCACAGTGTACACTCTACCCATCGATGGTGCTCTCGTCTTGATTCTGTTGACTATCTCCAGGCCTTGGTCCAAGCACCTGTCAGGAACAATCTCCAGAAACCTACATGCCGGTCTTTGAGGGAGACCTTGTTGTGTGCCAGTTTTACAGATGGGGAAACTGAGGCTCAGGGAGCGTCAGTGTCTAGGATATAGCTCCACAGAAAAGGTTGCCTGCATCACAGAAAGACTGTAGAGTAGGATTCTCAGCCCATCTCTACTGCCTGACAACTGTGCAACTTAGAATCAGGCATTTGAGAACCTGTCTCCTGACTCATCAAAAGATCCCTCTCTGGGTTGGTGGAAGGCATCGCCGAGCTAATAATATAGATGGACAGCCTCTGTGTGGCTCATGTAGTAGTGGATCCCAGCAGTGTTGTGGTTACTGGATGTGTGTGTGTGTCTCTGTGTGTGTGTGTGTATGTGTGTGTGTGTGTGTGTGTGGTACATGTGCGTGCACTTGATCTCTGTCTCCATTTCTTCCAGGTATTCACTGGGGCCTACCTAGCATTCGTCGACTTCATGAACTTCCTGTTTATTCTGTTTCCTGTCTGTGGATCCAAATCCAAGTTGAAGTCCGGTGAGTGTGCCTATGTGGCCATCCCTTTTGCCTTCATTCATTTGTCCATCCATATGCTTGGTGCCCATTCCTGAACCAGCTCTCTCAAGGCACAGGCAAAGAATGAGGTACCTGCCCTCAGCCACATGAAATGATGGGGCCCTAAGCAGTTATTCTATCGAGCACTAGGGAGATAAACTCCCAGGGAGAGATGAGCTTAAAAGATAAGAAAGCTTGTGACATCAGGCGGGGTGGCACAGACAAGCAAACAAGAATGGACCATGGCCAGGAGCAGTGATGGCTTCAGGGGACAGTGTGCAAGTCTGGGCAACCAAGCCAAGCTCCATAATTTCTGGAAACAAATGGCAGAAACAGACAGGATCACTTCTGTAGGAGCAGGGCTACAGGGACTGAGACAGGGTGAACAGCCCTGAGAACATAGCAGTGGGGGTTCCTGAGAAAAAAAATCAGTGTTCTTAGACTCTTGTCCAAAAACAGGATGGTCACATCAGTGGGTCATACAACATGTCCACAAACCGGTCCATGTAGTTCTGAAGATAAATGTTTTTTAAAATGCTCAGAAGACTGTATTTTAAGGAAGCCTGCAAGAATGTCCTCTCTCTCATTGCTGTCTCTCCTGCTTACAGAGTAGGTGGCTTGACACAAGTCACTTATCTGTGTCAGGGACAGAAATGACTAGAATGTGGTCATTGGGAATATAAGTCTAGGAGAGTTACTATTGTTTACCTACTAGCATTGAAAGAGTCCTCCCTGCTGGGCGGTAGTGGTGCACACCTTTAATCCCAGCACTTGGGAGGCAGAGGCAGGTGGATTTCTGACTTCGAGGCCAGCCTGGTCTACAGAGTGAGTTCCAGGACAGCCAGGGCTACACAGAGAAACCCTGTATCGAAAAACCAAAAAAAAAAGAAAGAAAGAAAGAAAAAGAAAAAAAAGAAAAGAAAGCAAGAGTCCTCCCAAGAAAGATAAGCAGCATCCTCTGTGGTGGGAGGCAGGCTCTGGAAGAGGAACTTGACACGGGGACTTAATGGGGGTCGGGATATGCTATAGCAAGACTGGAGAGCAGAGGCTAGAGTACACCAGTTCCTCCCTCACCACCATCTCCTGAGCTCTGTCTTCCAGGAGCATCATAGGGTGGGGGGCTCTGGTGTTTCCTGCAGGTCAGAGCAGCAGGGAGAGGAGGAGAAGAAGGCATCTTAGAGCCAGTGTGTTTGCCCTGGCTCTGCCGCTGAGCCTGGGTCCAGGCTGGGCAATCTGGACTGCTATCCCCAAGGCTTCAGCCCCAGTCCGAGGGCCGCAACGGAGGCTTCTGGGAAGCCTTCTGCAGGTAAGGCTGAACATATGTAGATATGCAGTTGTACAGGTCTCCTTCACTTCTCTCCTTGCGTGTTTACTTGGTGTTATGAGAGATGGTGAGGGTTCCTGACACTGGAAGGAGGAACCTTCTAGAAGTAGAAGAGATGGCATCAGGTCTGTTGCTTCTTGGAATGTATGCACAGTCTCACACATCTATTCTTGCAGGAAAACCCGGAAGTCTTTGGCTACCTGCTGGGTGCCATCGCTGCCTTTGGCTCCTGGGCATCCCGGATCCCTCCATTCGCCAATATCGTGAGACGGGGCTGGGGCTGTGGGCATCTTGGGGCATCGGGAGGTCTGGAGGTGTGATGTCCCTGTGTGGGGCACGCATGTGCTTACAGTGTTTTCTGAGGAGCCAGTGTGTGACAGCAGTGAGGGGCATATATGCATGTGTGTGTGCGTGTGCGTGTGTGCCTGTGTGTGCGTGTGCATGTGTGCCTGTGTGTGCGTGTGCATGTGTGCCTGTGTGTGTGTGTGTATGAAGGGCCATGGCTAAAACAGTAGAGTCCTGAGACCTACAAGAACCTTCCAGGAAGGCTGGGCGTTTCTCTTTACAGGAAAAGGTCACAGGGGTGGAACAAACTAGAGGCTCACGAGAGAACAAGAAAGGCACAGGAAGTCCAACAGGGTTAGCTATCCAAGGCCTTATCGACATATGTTTCCAAATATCTGGGCTGAGGGAAGACTTACCAGCCAGGCATGTTGATGCCGAATGAGACCTGTCCCGGGATCTCCGAGTCCTGTGGGAGACACACATGGTGTGGTGGGAGGATTCCCTGCAGTCCGAATAGAGGAAGCAGGTGTTTGGGTTGGGAAGCAAGAGAGAAGGCCCCTGTGCTGTGACGGAGTGAGGGCAGTGTCAGGTGGTGTCTCATAGTGGTTCAGAGGGTGAGTGGGGCCAGTGGAGGCAGCAGCTAAGGAAGGGCTGTCTGTACCCAGGGAAGCCACCATACAGGGCAGCGCCTGAGTGAGCTCTGGGATTGGTGTAGAAATTGCCCTGCCAGGTTTTCTCCATAGAAGTTTCTGCTGTAATGCCCCTGCCTCAGTGACAGGACCAGTACCATCCCTGACACTAGAAAGTGAAGCAGGCCTGTCATTTAGCCTGAAGAGAGAACCACTTTCTCTGGAGCACCATGCTTTAGTACCAGGGTCAGAAGAACAAGAGCTGAGAGGCAGGCATCTTGTGACTGTGGGCATGGAGAGCCAGGCTATGCTTTGAGCCTGGAAGTCCTGAGTCCTGCCTCCAGACTAGAGGAGACAGAGATCCTGGCCTGACTACAGCAGCCTCTGGGTGAGCCTCTGGGAGGGGGCAGGAGCATCACATGGCAGGGAGACCTTCCACGGTACAAGGGCAGTGTCCTGGCTGCCTGTTCTAGTTCCCTAGGGCCTGTGATGGGATGGTCAGGCTGGGAACCTTTAATGGCACTGAGATGCTTCCTGTGTGCTGTGGGAGCCATGCAGAGGCACCATTCCCCTCATCCTCTAGGGCCAGGGACCAGATTGACCCTCACATCCAGGTACTCCACGGTTAGGGACTTGACTGGGTCTCTCTATTCAGGGGCCTTCAGCAGGTGGAGGCCAGAACAATGGCTGGGAAGAAACTAGCTGATATACAGGGATAGGTAGCATTCCTGACAGGTTCTAGTTTGTTTGTTCTGTGCTGAGCATTTAACCCCGGACCTCACATGCACTAGGCAGCCAGTCTACCACAGAGCTACATCCCTAGTCCATCTGAGTATTCCTTGGGGATTTAAAACAAAAATGAGTGAAAATCAGCCAAAATATACTTTTCTCCTGAAATTTGTTCCATTCCTTAGCCAACACCTAAATAGTTCTAAATGCTGCCACTTAGCAAGCAAAATTTAAAAACCTAATTATGCATGTTTTGTACTTGCATATATATATAAACTTATATAAATATATTATGCAATTTAGTACATAGTCTTGTATATACACATATAAATGTATATGTAAAATGACTTTTAAATATTTATTAATTGATATTTATTAATTTACTAATTGTTGGAGTCATGGCATATGTGTGCCATGGCTCAGGTTTTATGAGCACAGGACAACTTTCAGGAGTCCTTTCTTTCTGTCTACCATGTGGGTTCCAGGCACTGAACTTAAGCTGTCAACAGCAGGTGTCTACCTGCTGAGCTAGCTCACTGGCCCTAAAGTGACCTCCTGCCTACAGACAACTACTAACATAAACATTGCATATGTTCTTTTCTGTGAGCCAGTATCTCCATTGTTCATCCTCTCAAAATGTCCCCCTGGCTTCACAACTTCATAATGTCATTTCTCCCTTGACCTCCCTGTTTGGTGTGGTTCCACAGGAGAATAGCTCGGCAGTGGCTCGTGGTAACTCATTCTCCCTCACCTTCCCCTACTGGCATTTCTAAGTTCCTACCCCCTGTCAGAAGGGAGGGTCCCAGGTCTGCTCCCAGGAATGCTCCTGATGCAGGAAGAGTCTCACGCATCCCTCTGTGTCACAGGGAGGTGCCAGGTGTTACAGGGTCCAGAAGAGAGTCAGTACTCCATAGGGCAGAAACAGTAAGAAAAGGTTTCCGTGTTAAGATTAAGCCAGATTCTGAGGAATTTGCCAGGCAAAAGTAGCATTTGAAGAACAGCTCGATGCCTAGCAAGAGGAGAGAGCCCTTTGTAAGTGGCCGCTTAAGAGGGCTTGCCATATGCCACCGAGAGATCCAGTGTCCTCCTGCCCGGCCCCTCCTCTCTCTGCACAGTGTCGAGGGAAGTCACTCTCCTACATCCACCTGTGGACGAGGTTCCTGTCAGCTCTGGCTGGTCTCCTCTACGCCTCAGCCATTGTGGCCCATGACCAGCAGCCTGAATACCTGCTTCAGGCCACACCCTGGTTCCTGATTTCACTGGGCCGAGCCGCACTGGACCTTGCTGTATCCTCCCAGGCACAGTGCCCCGGGAGGCTGGGTTGCCTGCAGCCAGGGACTCTAGCCTTCCTCCCACGTAGCATGGCCTCCTTTGTCTTGCTGGGCAACATGGTGGCCCAGCAGTCCAATCATTAGAAGCCCGGGACAAGCAGAGACCACTGCAGTGATCCACAATTCAGGGCTTGCCCAGTTCAATGACAATTCTTTGGCCTAGAGCTCTCTAAAATAGCAAGGGAAAGGGGGAGGCTCTGAGCCTTCAGAGCCAATGGGCCCAGCTCCAGGCTCCATTCTGTATCCTACCAGGCTTCTCTGGATGGAGCCTGCCCTCCTGGGGAAGAGGCCTATGTAGAGATCAGAGCTGACAGCAGTGCCTTCAGTTGGTGGCTGCTGAGCCTACTTGGCTGCTGGGGCCCCAGAGGTGCTGCTGGATATGCTGTCACCCAAGTGACCTTGCACTAGTGTTTCAAGGACAAGCGAAGCTGAGCTGGAGGCTGTCGGAGGTGCTGACAGCCTCTGGATGTGACCCTGTTGTGGTGGTAGGAGACTTTAAATTACCCAGACTTCCTAGATCAAAGCAGGCTACTCTTAAAGGCTCTGCTGAGAAGCTGCCCTCCTCCCTTCTGATTGATTACCCGTGACTTCCAGAATTCTCTAGCTGTGGCTTTATATTGCTTTTTCTTTTCAAGACCAGTTTTTACTACATAGCTAAGTTCAAGGCTGGCCTTGAACTCCAGATGCCTCAACCTTGTAAGTTCTGGGATGATAGGTGTCCTAGTGCACTTCTGGCCCAGCCTCGTAACTTCAGCGCCTGCTTGTCTTCGACGCCTTGCTCCTTTTGTGCATCTGTGTATGTCTTCCCGTCTAAGAACTCCAGGCATTGCATGTAGGCCCACCGTAGTAATAATCCCCTTTGGCGCTCCTTTCAAACAAGGTCACAATCTGTGTTTTCACGTGGACACTCTCCTCCCCACCGCGTGTGCTATCACTGTAAGCCATGCTTTCCAAATGTTTCCATCTCACAAGAATTTAACAGAGAACAAAAAAAGAGAGAAAAGTTGATCAGGCCCTGTCTTCAAGATAGTCTCTGTCCGTCTGGGACGGGGCGCCAGGGCAGGCTGCTCGGGAGCAGGCGTGTGAAGAGCGCCACCTGGAGGCTGAAACTCTCCACTTCCGTGTACCTTAACTCCCACATATCAGATCATCTTTCTGTCCTGCGTAATAAAGAGCAGGACGAGAAGAGCCTTCCGATTTGCTTCTGCAGAAGCTAGAGAGAGTGCCGACACACAAGCCCTTTTGACCTGTGCAGAGAAGGAAGAAGAAAACCAGGCGGCCAGGACTGAAGACAAGGTCTCTCTGGATAGAAAATGTTTGTTTTGCTGGCTGGGTGCGCAGAGGCGGGAAGTACTGGGGACAGGGGCTTCTGGAAGTCTTTCTATACTTGGTCTCTTAAAAACTACCTTTTATGTCCAAAGCTCACGCGATCCGGAGTACAGTGGGATCCTCCCTTTTCCCAGTTGGCTTTGTGTTGTGTTGTTTTGTTTCTGTTTCTGACGCCATTACTGCCTCAGTGTAGTTGGATCATCAAGTAGTCTTGTAATTCAAGTAGCTCACTCACTGACCCACATACTGCCCAAGTGAGCGTCCTAATTTGAAAACAATGTGGGTTTTCCAGGCTTCATTTGTAAAGTCACTTTCCTAAGCGTCTCTGACATCATCACCACATCCTGACAATTCCAGAGCCATCAGCATGCTGAATGTTCATTCCTGCCTCTGCGAATCTGTGTGACGCTGTCTCTGGAAAACTGTCCCAGGTCATAAGGACCGGTTTGTAATGGAGACCATGGCACTTTAACTATCGCTGCTTGGAGGCTGGTCTTGCTAACGTCGGAGGAAGCGTTGCTTGTGATTGTGTCCAACATTTACACCTATAACTCACCATGAGTGAGAGTCCGTATGTCTGAGTTCATATGTCTGTCTCCTTAGGTTTTCAGGGTTGGAGTCTGCACTGTACCCCAGCCTCCTGTCTCTTTACACTTGATCCAAACTGGTGACTTCTAAGATACCACATCTGACCCTGACTGGGGCAGTGCCTCTTCATCAGAAGACTGGCACCCAAGTCATCGTGGAGGCTCATGGGAATTTTAAGACAAGCAGCTCCCCTTTTACTAATTTTGGGGGACTAGAGTGGTGTCCCCCAAACCAGGAGCTGCTGCTCCTGGGCTCCTCTGCACTTCAGGCCCCTCTTACAGAGTGAAGGCACAAAGGGGGCTGGATTCCTTTACTTACAGGATTTGAAAAGAGGAAGGGGGGTCAGTAAACAAACAAAAGTAAGACTGCTCCCGGGAGCATCCTAGGCTCAACAATGTGGCCTGAGCCGACAAAATAGAAGGAATTGATACACATAACAAAAACCAGGGCTCCCAGATCTGAGTTTGCAGTAAAGCCCCCCACCCCCACGCACACACTCCTGGAGCAGAGAATGGGACACTTATTTCCTCCACTGTAGCAGCTGGGGTAAAATTGTGCCTCACCAGAGAGCTTGCAGTACAGAGGTCTGTGTGACCCTGGACAGGCAACGAGAGGCCTCCGAGTATCTGCTGTGATGCTTGTAGGTGTGTCCAACATTTTGACATTGTCAACCTCTCTTGTCATCTACAAAAGTTCACCCTTGGGAATCATACAATTAAATTACAAACAAAACACTAAAACCCACACACAAAAATAAACCTACCAAGTCAGACCCACCTTGAACCAGACCCTACTCTATGCCTGCTGGGGTGGCTCTCAAATTCTGAGCATGTGAAGATCTCTGGGAAGCAGCTTTTTCTGAGGCAGGGTCTCACTATATATCCCTAGCTGGCCTAGAACCCACTATGTAGATTAGGCTGGCCTCGAACTCACAGAGATCCACCTGCCTCTGCCTCTTGAGTTCAGGACTAAAGGCGTGCACCACCATGTCTGGCTTAATGGCTCTTCTGAATGAGACTTTTCTTTTAGAAGGTACCTTCTGGATTTATAATTTCTCCCCCTTGCTTCCTTGTTTCCTTTCCAAAGAACTCAGATTGGGTGCCTCTGACCAGCCTGTCACACTGCAAGCCCCTGAGGACAATGACAGTAATGAGTCGCTATATGGAGCTGACCATTGAGCCTGCACAGCAGGTAAGTACCTCTGGGTCACTACTGGGTATCCAGAATGGTGAGAAGAAAGCCTGGCAGGCTTCCTGAAAGAGGTGGTACTTCAGCTGCTGGGATCCATTTGGGGTTCTCCAGAGTTGCAGTGGAGGGGTGCTGATTGGAGGAAAAAGTTCTTTTCCCTCCGCCTTCCTGGTACCGTGACTAAGAACTGTGACTCGAGCTGATAAAAGAGAAGAAAACTTTTCAGTTACCCATACATGGCTGCTTACAGAGAAAAATGTGATTGAAGGATGTGAGGTTTCTAAACCACTGCAGGCTTGGGGGAGAATGCCTGGGGCTTGTGACATCAGGCCAAGTTAGGGAAGAAGAGAGAAAGGGCATGGCAGCTCAGAGTTGTCTTCTCATGCAGCGAGAGTCTCGGGTGACAGCTGTCCTGTGGGAAAAACCCGAAGTTTCCTCAACAAATGTGAATTACTATACAGAAGGGAAAATGCATACCGTCAGCCTATTTTTAAGATTTTAGTTTTGCCACGCGGCTTTAATCCCAGCACATGGGAGGCAGAGGCAGGTGGTCTCTGGGTTCGAGGCCAGCCTGGTCTACAGAGTGAGTTCTAGGACAGTCAGGGCTACACAGAGAAACCCTGTCTTGAAAAACAAAACCAGATTTTAGTTTTTACTTATTTAAATGCTTTTCGATGTATCTATTCCTTGTAGATACTACCTTACTTCCTAAAGATATTTTCATACCAGTGTATCCTGTACGGATGCTGCGTGTTCCCCATCCTGTGCATCAGTATTTGATGCACTGCTGAGACAAGAGTAAACGACCTCAGGTAGATAGGGTTTATTTTGGCTCCGAGTTCGAGGATACAGTTCATCACGGAGCGTTTGAGGCAGCTGGTCACCGCGCATCCACAGCCAGGAAGCAGGGAGAGCCAGATGCTTGTGCTCCACTCCTCCCTCTGTTCTGGGCAGTTCAGGTCCCACCCCGGGAATAGTGGTGACCACTCTCAGGGTGGAGCTTCCCACTGAGCCGTCCTACCCTTCACATGCCTGCCCAAGAGACTTGTTTTCTAGGTGACTCTAGGTCCTGTCACCTAGTTGACAGTCAATATTAGCCATCCCACCATCCCCCGCTCCCTGTCCTGATCCCCTCCCCGCCCCCCTTCCCTTTAGACCACTTTGTCTCCTTGGGCAGTTTTACTTTACTTCTATGGGACGGTTTTACTTATATGTTCATGTCATGTACACATATATAACTGTATGTGTCTTTATAAAATCAAGGAATCTCATAGAGGGGACACACATGTAATAATTTACCTTTCTGAGACTGATCTTAATTCTCTTAAAGTGTTTAATCTCAAGTTGCCTCTGCTTTCCTGCAGATGACCGGATAGCGTCTTTCCTTATACCCATTCCACCATGTATATAAGCCACATGGTCTTTATTTATCCAGCTGTTCTTGGACACCTGGGTCAGTGCCATAGCTTAGCATAGTGCTGTGGCAAACACTGATGTGCTGGTGTCTCCATGATGTCTTTTAAGACTTAAGCACCAAGAGTGCTTTAGTTGGATATGTGCTAGATCTATTTTTAGTTTCCTGAGACTCTTCCACACTGACTTTTTGGTGGCTAGACTAATTTATATACCGCCAGTAAATGTACACGGGTTCCCTTCTGTCTGTGTTTTTGTTAGAATTTGTTTTCTTTTTCATTCTCTCTCTCTCTCTCTCTCTCTCTCTCTCTCTCTGTGTGTGTGTGTGTGTGTGTGTGTGTGTGTGTGTGTGTCAAAGTGGAGGCCAGAAGAGGATGTTGGACTTGGATTTCTAATCACTGTGAGCCACATGGGTGCTCATATGTGAGTGCTTTGGATCTGAACTCAGGTCCTCTAGAAGAGCAGCAAGTGTCCTTAGCCACTGAGCCATCTCCCCATCTCCCCTCCCCGGACCTGTTGTGAGTTTTCTTAATGACTGCCATTCTGACTGGGCTGAGGTTGACTTTCAATGTAGTTTTTAATTAAGATTTCTCTGAGGTTGAGCACTTCCTTGTATGTTTATTAATCACTGATATTTCATCTTTTGTGGACTGCACATTTCATTCAAATGTTTATTGAGTTGATTGATTTCTTATTGTTTATTTTTTCAGATCTTTGTATATTTTATGTGTTAATGTCAGATGTATAGATGGTTAATATTATTATGATATATTGAAGATAGTAATGTCAACTAGCAAAGATTTTTCTCCCCTTCAGTAGGCTGTCTCTTTACTTGATTAACATTTCTTTTGCAGTTCAAAAGCTTTTTAACTTCATGAGGTTCCATTTATCAACCCCTGAAAACAAAATTCAGGAGGCCTGTTCAGAAAAATCATTCCAGTGCTGTATTTTAAAGTATTTTACCTACGTTTCTTCTAATCATTTCTGTTTCAGATCTTACCTTAAGGGCTTTTGTCCATTTGGAGATGTTGTTCTTCATCTTGCTGTTTTGTTCTCGTGTTGGTTTTTTTTTTCCTTTGACGACAGTCAAAGGATCCTACTGTGTAGCTGTAGCTGTCCTGAAACTTGTTAGATAGACCAGACTGACCTGGAACTCACAAAGACCCTCCAAATCCAACCATTCTACAGGAGGGACTTGAGCCTAAGGTTCCTACAGAGCCTTAGGTTTCTGTATCCATGGGAGTCCCGGAAGGAATCCCCTCAGCTCTGAGGAATGACTGTACTTTGGGGGCAATTATAAGATGGCAAAGAGTTTACCTTGTTTTTGTTGGCTTTTACTTGTCTTTAATTTAAAATAATCTATATACAAACAAGACATGTTTTGGTCCCTCCCAGAATGCAATGCATGTGAGAGCTGAAGACAGGAGCACCAGCTGTAGTATCTCTCTAGCTGCCAGTCAACGGGTAGAGGCTGCATGGCTGCCAGTCAAAGGGAAGAGGCTGCGTGGGAGGCTTCGGGGCTAAGCTCACAGTCTCCTGCGCGTGTCGGAAGCATCACTAGGCGGCAGATAGGCAGGGAGAAGTCACTAGAAGCAAGATGGTCTTGAAAAGAGGTGGAGAGATTTTGGGCTGAGGCTGAGGCAGACAGGGAAGCAAAGGGTTGTAAGTAGAGTTGGGAAAGGGACTGCAGGGCTCTGGCTTACCTTCTGGGTCCTCAAGGGAAAGAGTGTTGTGAAAGAGATGACAGGAAGTTCACCCCCTTATGCCACTATTCTCAGATTTCTTGGTCAGGTCACCAGTGACTTCCCACTCGGCCCCTGGTGCTGATTCTGCAGCCCCAGTACTGTCTTCTGTCACTTCGCGCTAAGGGCCAGCTTTGTGGTTAGCTTGCCCTTAGCATGGGATTGCCTCAGCCCCGACTGGAAGTGCTCCCTTCTCCTGGTGTGCTCCTGTAGGCCCCAGTTCCGTTGCCCAGTCCTCCCTCAGGCCGACTCTGAGGAGGCTTCTGTTCCTCGCCCCTTACTTTCAGTCCCAGATGCCCCACATGACGTACCACACATACCACATCCACACGGCCTAAGGCTTTCCCTGCCCAGACAGGCTCCCCGGCACCACAGGAAGTGCTGTCCACACAGGAAATTCTGCCCCTATCTATACCGTGATTCAAGCCCCAGATTCCCCCCTCTTTTCCCCTTGTACCGTCTTCTTCCCACCCAGGTCATTTGCTAGTCCTGCAAATGCTATTTTAAAATAGCCAATGAGGGGCCTGGAGAGGTGGCTCAGTGACTATAACTGTTCTTCCAGAGCAATTCTGGGCATCTGCGTGGTGGCTCATAACGGACTGTAATTCTTGCTTAAGGGGATCAGACGCCCTCTTCTGGCCTCTAGGCACACAAGCAGTGCACACACAAATGGAGACAAAATACTTGTACCTATGAAATGATAAAATCTATTTTTTAAAAAATAGTTAATGAAATCTGTACTGGAGAGGAGAGGCAGAAGACTGCTCCAGTTTCAAAGTCAGCCTGGGCTACACACTGAGTCCAACTCCAGGGAGAGGTGAAACCCTGCAACAAACAGAAATAATGGCCGTGCTGTCAATTAGCAATCCAGGCTGCGCATACACTGTCTCAAAAGGGAGGAGGGCATGTTCTTAAGGCAAACAACTGGCTGCTATTTACCCCCACTCCAGTCTGCTGGCTACACCAGCAACCAGAGGGCTGGCCTGGTTTTCCTTTGTTCTTGGTTTATATTTTGGTTTAGCTTTGCTTTTGGATATTTTGTTGCTGGTGGTTTGGTTTGGTTGTTTGAGTGTGTGGGTGAGGAGAAGGCGTCTGTAGGCTAAGCTTTCCTGAAACTCAGATCCTTCTACCTCAGATACTGGGGTTATAGGTGTGTGCCACCCTTTTACAAATATAACTTACATTTTTCAAAAAGGTTTTTCACTATTTTATGTGTATCTGTGCGTATCTGAGGTATGTATGTATGTGCACCACACGTGAGCAGGATCCCATGAGGTCAGAAGAGGGTGTCAGACCTCCGGGAGCTGGAGTTACAGGGTCACTGTGAGTTGCGCATTTTGACCAGTGGTGTGGGCCCTGCCCTACTATGTGATAGACATAGGAACTTGAGAGGACTTGGGGCTTGAGAGCTAGGCTTTACCCTTTTCTGGGTTATTTAGATGTTAGGTGTGAATCCCTCTGCCGTTTGGAGAGAATCAAAGAATGAATTTACAGTGAGGGGCCCACTTCAGTCATGAAGGCATTCTTCTGACCAGAGGGGAAGAAGAAGGGGAGGGA